CCTTTCCTTTCCCTTCCCTTCCTTTCCTTTCCTTTCCTTTTCTTTTCTTTCCTTTCCTTTCCCTTCCTTTCCTCTCCTCTCCTCTCCTTTCCTTTCCCTTCCTTTCCTCTCCTCTCCTTTCCTTTCCCTTCCTTTCCTTTCCTTTCCCTTCCCTTCCTTTCCTTTCCCTTCCCTTCCTTTCCTTTCCCTTCCTTTCCTTTCCTTTCCTTCCCTTCCCTCCTCCCTCCTCTGCAAACCCACTCCCTTCCACCACTGATGAAGTTAACTAGCTGGTTCATGAAACGTCTGCACGAAAGCAACCAAATTCAGAGAGCACCAAGGATCCCACAGTCCTCCTCCTCCCCCTTCCTTTCCAGCACTCATGACGTAACCCAGTTGGGTCATGAAACGTCATTTCAACCCTGAGCTGCAAATATGCTCCTTTAGAGGGACAGACAGACGGATAGACGCAAGCCATGCTCAAGGGGTGGCCATTTTCTACCTCTCGTCGCTTCGAGCCACACATCTCTTCTACATTGCTTTAAAATAAAGCAAGGGTGGCTTATTTCTTCAGGCGTGTCTCGATGGCGCCCTGCTTCCACAACCAACACAAATTGTCTCTGTTGTGGTTTGCCAGCAGCCGGTGAAGATGACAGCGGAATCGGACAGTGGGGAAGAACGGGGACCAGTCCTGGAGAGGACTCGGACGAGGGTCCTGCGTCCAATGCAGAGATGGGGCCAGGACCATATGAGAGAGGGGTGCTGCCTTCTGAGCCTCCAGAGTCTGGCAGCAGTGAGGAAGAGGACCCAGGGGAGCCTGTTCCCAGTGCGCGTGTGCGCAGAGCTGCTAGAAGGTGAGAGCAGCTAAGACAGAAGGGGAGACTCGGAAGTAAGGCTGTGAGGTGATTGCGCCTCCCCTAAGGGATAAAAGTCAGGCCAAGATGATGAAACCTTTGCAGGAAGCAAAGTTGTTAGATTGATTCAGAGTCCTCCTTGAAGCTCTGTGTACTTTGGTTGGTTTTTTTTCTTGTACTTCGGTTGGTTTCTGTTATAATTAATTGGATACTTCTATGTTATATGTAGAAATTACATATTATGAGTTACACCTGTGGAAATGAAGAACAGAAGGGAAGCCATACTTACCCGATATTTGAACTATGCAATGATTATTGGACAGTTATATAACTGTATAAGCACGTACTGTTTTGTAACTTGTTATGTTCTAAAGTAAATGTCAGGCTTTTGGGTAGAACATGGGCCTGTACCTTTTGGCATAAGGATATGTGTAGGAGATACTAGGTTATCCTGACCTGAACGGAACTGGTTAATGATCTATTGTATTACAGATGGTCATAACACGACCATAACAGGAAGAAGCCATGAGAACGAGGGTAGTTTCCAAAGACAAGGAAACAGGTGTTACGCTACAATAATAAGAGTGTTGTGTAGGGAGATACGTAGCTTGGATAGATATGAACCCAGGAAAGGGGCAGAGACTGTATATTTGAACCTGTATATAAACCCCAGCCTTCCTGGGAACCATGTCTTCTGCCATGAACAGAATTCCCTTTTGCAAAAGCTTAATAATAAAGATCTTGTTCAATGTCTCCAGTTGTTTTTTTATTATTATTATCACATTTGTTTTTGGCAGCATTCCACAGCACTGAAAGGTGTGTGCTTATCTTGGGGAACTGTCTAAGATTAGTTCTGTCTGGGAATGAAAGCAATTCCCAGCATTGCAATAAAACAGGTTTTGCTTTTAAAACAAGTTTGATATTAATTATGTTTGACGAAGCCTGGGCCAGAACAGTCTAGAGAGGCTAACAAAAAGCCAAGAAGGGCCGGAGTTGTCATTGCATTAACTTAGGGTTCTCCAAACTTGGTCACTTTTAAGACTTCTGGACTTCAAGTCCCAGAATTCTCCAGCCAGCTATGCTGGGAGTTGAAGTCCACAAGTCTTAAAGTTGCCAAGTTTGGAGACCTCTGTGTTAACTAATGCTTAACAAACTAGGCAGGAAAACGTGTTTTTACATATCTCTGGTATTAAATGGACAAGGGAAACTCCGATGAATTAGTTGCTTCAGAAGAGGTTTACCTCCTTAAAAACTGGGAGGGTGGAGGTGTTTTTTTTGTTTTTTTTTAACAGCCAGTGTCTTCACATGTCCGTTCCCTGCGGAGTCGCTAAAGTTCAAAACCATTCTTTTCTTACAAAAAGGAGAAGCCGGGGAAAGAAATAA